GCGCATTACTTTTTTACCAACGTAATATATTAGCTAGTTCAGCTAAAAAAGCAAAAAATATTAGGCCCACAAGGAATTGAACCCCCTACCTCTAGATCCAAAGCCTAGCTCGTTACCACTACACCAAGTGTGCGGCGGAGCGCCGCGCCTCCCTGGGTGCGCTTAAAACGGGAAGAGAGGGCGCTGCCAGCCGTTGCCAGCTGCCACGCCCTTTATAAAAACATCAAGGCGTCGCCTCCTCCTCCTCCCACTTGGTGTAGCGGTAACGAGCTAGGCTCTGGATCTAGAGTTCCGGGGTTCGATTCCTTCTGGAGCCAAAGTTTTTTTGCTTTTTTTTCTAAGGCCTATAACATTGTTCCGACACCTTTTTAATGATGTTAAAGTAACATTTCCATGATTTTATAAGATCCTCATAACTTTCTGTACTTTTTTTCCAAAAAAAAGTTTTATTCAACCAAAAAATAAGTTCTCAAACCAACATTTCATAATCCTGCTCGCCGGGGAAATATTTGGCTTTAAACTTGTAAATGGGTCTCGAGACGAACAGAAGAACAATCGAGAGGATGAGCATCACGAAGAGGAACAGGATACAGTAGATCAGGAACTGGTTCATCTCGTGCGGACGCATCTGGAAAAATTATTTCCGAATGTGATTTTTTTAATGTGTGAAATGCAATTTCACACATTTTAAGCCTAAAACCACAAAAATCCCTTTAAAACAAGCTGAGATATGGGGATTTGAAATTTTTTGAAAAATTGTCATAACTTTTAAAGTTTTTTCTCAAATTGAATGAAACATACATTTTTGAGTTCAGCAAGTGGTTACGGTCATTTTGAATATAAACAAGCCATATTTTGGGTGAAAAGTGAATATTTGGGATTACCGTAGTTTTTGTGGTACCTATCTCATTCAAAGTATGGCTTGTTTATACTCAAAATGGCCGTAATCACGTGCTTAATTGAAAAATTAACATGTGACAACCATCGGGTAAATGGTTGAGGAGATACGGTAGATTTTTTAAAATTTAGCAAAAAACAATTAATTTTTTTCAGAAAAGTAAAGAAAACTCACATGTTGTTGCGTCTTCCGAAAAACGGTTTGATAGAAAGTGTTGGAAAAAATAATTTTGGAAATTTTTCAGAACAATTTGTATCACTAAAATGAGCAAATACGAGGAAAAATTTGGAAGATTTGGGATGAAAAAGTGTGTGTGTGGGATAATCAAGGAAATCCTACACAAAATCTGATCTTATAGAGATCAGAGAAAAACAATTTTTGGGATTAATTTTTGAATTTTTTTTCGAAAAAAATGTTTCCAATTTTTTTTTCTTAATTTTTCATTCAATGTCTTTGAAACATAATTTTTTGAGTTAAGCAAGTTATTACGGTCATTTTGAGTATAAACAAACCATAGTTTAGATCAGTTAGGTATCCCACCACGAAAACTACAGTAATCCCCAAAACCATTTTTCACCCAATATATGGCTTGTTTATACTCAAAATGATCGATTTGATTTGCAAATTTCAAAAATTTACGTTTCATTTAATTTGAGTAAAGAATAAAAAAGTTATGACAATTTTACAAAAAAAAAATTTTTTTTTGAAAAATTCCAAATCCCCATATCTAAGCTAGTTTCAAACGGATTTTTGTGATTTTTAGATCAAAATGTGTGAAATTGGATTTCACACAAATATCATAATTAAAAAAAAAAAGACTACGAAAAGATTGGATCTCTTACTTCTAATTGATGCTGATGTTGAATTTGTTCCGAATCGAGACCGAGTAGCGCGAGAATTTTTGTAGTTGAATGCGAAAAATAGTGAATTGTGGCGATGGTGGGACGGTTTGGAGATAAAATTCTGGAAAAAATTGAAAAAAAATTTGGTTGTAAAAAACAACTTTCCAGAGGGTTCCAAGATCTAGAAATAGGAAAATATTGGTAATAAAAAAGCAAAAAAATATTGAAACCCAAAGAAATCGAACTTATGGGTCTTCTGCTCCAAATCCACTCCTCTTACCCATTGCGCCACGCGGAAAGCGCGCGCCTGGGCGCCCTGTGAGCGCCGCGGCAGCGCAAGGCGCGCGGAGGGTGGCGCAATGGGTAAGAGGGAGAAACTTGGAGCAGAAGGGGCAAATGTTCGATTCCTTTGGATTCTAATATTTTTTTGCTATTTTTCTTTCCCATATTTTCATATTTTCAAGTCCTCGAACCTATTGGAACGGAAAACTTCCAGAAAAAAAGCTTGAAAAGATATGTAGTAAGGCAAAATTTTTTTTGAAATCATTTCTTTCAAAAAAAGCTTGGAATTGCCGTTTAAGACTTTTTAATCTGAAAAAAGAGGTTTTAGAAACCGAAAAATGACCAGAAATTACTTTCTAGAAGGTTCCAAAACCTGAAAATATGAAAAAATGGAAAAAGAAAAAAGAAAAAATATTAGGACCCAAAGGAATCGAACTTATGGGTTTCTTGCTCCAATTCCATTCCTCTTACCCGATGCGCCACCTGAACAGTGCGCGCCTGGGCGCCCTTTGGGCGCGGCGGCAGCGCGAGGCGCGCGGAGGGTGGCGCAGTGGTTAAGAGAGAGGAACTTGGAGCAGAGGATCCAAAAGTTCGATTCCTTTGGGTTTCGATATTTTTTTGCTTTTTTTTTCTTTGTTATTTTTTTATATTTTGGGGTCCAGGAACCTATTGGAAGGGAAAAAATGAAGCAAAATTGCATGAAAAACGTAAAAATATGTAGTAAGTAATGCAAAAAGGAAATGTTCTCCTCTTCCTTTTTCTCTAATTCTATTCATTTCCTCCCCTGGCGTTGCCCAGGGATGCCTAAAAAGCTGTTGCACCTTCTACTAGAGAAAATAGTGTGGGAAAATGAGAGAGGGTGTTAGAGAAAAAGTGGGGGAGAGCTCATTTGACGCCTTTTCGTGAGCAAATGAGGAGGAGGAAGGGGACGACATGAGGATTTGATAATCGGAGGTGTCATTTTTCCCAGAAAGTGATCAAATTTTCAACAAGGATGCGGTTTTTTTCTTGAACATTCTAGATTTATACTTTAAGATCATTAAAAAAGTGTTGGAACAATGTTACAGGCCTTAGAAAAAAGCAAAAAGAATTTGGCCTCAGAAGGAACCGAACCCCGGACCTCTAAATCCCTAGTCAAGGTTACTACTACTACACCAAGCGTGCGGCGGAGCGCCGCGATGCCTTGGGTGGGTTTAAAAAGTGGAGGGACGGCTCCGCTGGCCGCCGCTAGCCACCGCGCCGTTTTTAAACGCTTGTGGGTACGCGTCAAGGCTTGCAACGCCATAGGCTATTGGATAACAGGTCTGACTATGGATCTAGAGGTCGGGGGTTCAATTCCTTCTCAGGCTAAAATTTTTTGCTCTTTTCGCTGAGCTAGCTAACATACTTTTTGACTACTTTTCAGTGTTTTTTTTTTTGAGAAAAAAGAAAGTTCTAGAAAAAAATTCTCTCATCCTCATTAGCTAACCAAGTACTAGTAGTACTAATACATATGACTAGAAAAATGACACGAAATATGAAATCCAATGCCTCCGATGAGGGGTAAAAGAGAAAAAAATTTTATTTTCATGTCCAAAAAAATTCAAAAAAAGAGGAAAAATATATTGATGAGCAATACTAGTATAGTGCTTAATGACGTGGCAACTAATCCGAGATGACACATATTTTTAGCTTTAGTTGAAAGAAAAGTTTTTGAAAGAAATTAGGATCTTGTAATAGAGTAGTAGGCGTTGGAGTCGGTGTTTGGGTAGCGGCGGTGTTTTCGCTGAAGATGTAATAATCTGAAAATTCGAAATTTTGAATTTTCAAAAAAATTTAAAATTTCCAAAAAAATCTCACTTCATACAAAACGTGCGATACGGTCGAATATACACCAGATAAGTGAATGGGGAGAGCATTGGCATTGTACAAATTGAGGCAAAAATAAGATATTCGATGAATGGATGAGTGATAAGACCCAATTGGGATAGGATGTAACATGTGACGCCAATCATGAGGAGAGATGGAATAAAAGCTTGGATTATGAGACACTGGAAAAATGAGAATTTTCAAGAATTTTCAAAAAATGACAAATTTATATTCGTTCGAACCGTTTTTTTTTTGGTGATTTCAAAAATATAATTTTCACCAAATTTGAGCTACTATGAACCGAGATATAGCCAAATACATAAACTGGGTGAGAGAGCGCAGAGAAGCTAGCGTACGCGGCGCCCTCTTCTAAATGATACTGTAACTTGGTCAGTTTTTGTGACAGACGCTGGAAAAGTACATTTTTTTTTGTATATTTTTGAAATCAGCTAGTCAAAACAGATTGAATGAGTATAAACATGGCATGTTTTTTCTCGGAAATTTCAAATAAATTTTTTTTCAAAATTTTCACCTTTTTTACAATTTTCCTAACTACCAAAACTACTAAAAAAACCCTAAAGGAATCGAACTTTTGACTTTCGCCACCCTGTGCGCCTAGACGCCCCCATTTTTTTTGAAAAAAAAACACGTTTTTCGCAACGGCAGCTCAAGGCGCGCGAGTGGCGCAGTGGTTGAGAGAATGAGTTTTGGAGCAAAAGGCTCAAAAGTTCGATTGCTTTTGGTTTTGAAGTTTTTTGCTAGTTGTGATAGTCCCAATTTCTTCAAAAACTTTTGAAACAAACCTTCAAGATCTGATTATGACTGGCCTTGGCATCAGCTGATAACATTGTCGCTTGTTCCATCAACTTCTTCACAATCTATATCTCAAAACGAACATACTAACATAAATTGGAAATATTGGAACAGCCATATGGATAATCACATATATGGAAGCGAATTCATTGATTGTAGTGATGCCTCCGAGGATTCCTGATTTCTCGGATTCCAAATGATATTCTGGGAAGAATTTGGTGGCAAGGGGAAGGATTTCCTCACGATCAACTACAGTAGGCCAGTAGATGATCTGGAAGAAAATAAAAACTAGCAAAAAACTTTGAAACCCAAAGGAATCGAACTTTTGACCCTTCTTCTCCATAGACACCTCTCTTACGTCTTGAGCTACCGCGGCGCCCACGGGGCGCCTAGGTGTGCAGGGGTGGCGCAGAGGATAAGAGGGAGGAACTTGGAGCAGAATGGTCAAAAGTTCGATTTCTTAGGGTTCTAAAGTGTTTTGCTAGTTTTGAAAGTTAGGAAAAGTTTTTGAAAATCCAAAAAAAAATTTTTTTTCGAAAATTTTGAAAATTAAATTTTTAAACGGAATTTGTTGTTTCGAGAAGTTATAGTACCAAAAATCGAACTTTCCCGCCGTTTTCTGACACGAAAACGCGTTTTGTGCACTTTTCCGTGAGATTTGGTGCATTGGTACCAATGTACCGGATTTGACGCCAAATTTTGAATGTTCAGTTTAAAAATGTATTTGAACGGTTATTTTTCGAGATTTGAAGTGACAAATTTCCAGAAAAAGCTTCAATGTGTGTCAAAACATTCGGAATTTCAAAAAAAAAAAAAATTCAGATTTTCAGAAATATTCAAATTTTCTGAAAATTTGAAACATGGTAGGTGTCGTACCGCCTGAAACAAGCTAGGTGTATAAATGATAAAAACAATGAGGATGAGCCATTTTCGGGATAATGGGGACTTGTGAAGAATATAATATCTATAGGAGAACGATAATAATAGGGACCATGTCGTGTGTGGGAAGCAGTGATAGAACAGGGAGAGGCTGAAATTTTCTTTTTGGCTGAAAATCAAAAAACAAAAAAAAATTCGAAAAGACATTTTTTTTTGAAAACTTTTTTCGCCTGCTAACCGAACTTGAAACCCATTTTTGTCAGAAAAACAAAATGCTTACCCAATTTTACAACTCAAAGGTCCCGTATATTGACACCATCCATGATACACATAAATTAGGGTCACATTGAATGGGGTTATCACAAATCTTAAAGAAATTGGTTATTATAGGCATTGGGAACAATGGTTTAGGGCTTAGAAAGGAAGCAAAAAAGGTTTGAGTCCAGAATGATTTGAACCACGGACCTCTAGATCCATAGTCAAGGCTGCTACCACTACACCAAATGAGCGGTGGAGCGCCGCGACGTCTTGGGTGGGTTTAAAAAGAGGAGGGATGAGAGGCGGCGACCGTTGGTCGCCGCGACCTTTATAAACGCATGTGGGCACGCGCCAGGCGCCAAAGCCTAGTGGGTAACAGGGTTGACTATGGATCTAGAGGTCCGGGGTTCGATTCCTTTTGGGTATAATCTTTTTTGATTTTTTCGCTGTGCTATCTAACACAATTTTTGAAGTGTTTAGACCCCTAAAACATACCTCAACATAATAAAAAGGTCCAAAAAGCATTCCAAAAAATCTGTAACCGCGAAATTTATGATCAAGATTGCATAGGATCTAGTAGCCGGGGGCGTTTTTTGTACTGCCACGTAGCAGAGCAGCAGGTTAGCACAACATCCAATGACACCGATCATAATGTGCCAGAAGTGGAAAATCTCGTAGAGCATTTTGAAAAAATAACTTTTTTTTGAAAAACCCTCTTTTTCAGACCTTAAATATACGAAAAACTGCTCCTACTTCTACACAAAATACTCTGGAGGCTACAAAGAAAAAGATTTGAAAAACACCTGCTTTTTCTGGAAATTCGTCATTGTGTAAAAAACCAAAAAAAAATACGGTAATCCCCAAAAGTTTCTATTCTACATTTCTCAAGGTTTGTGGATACCGCCAATGTCAGAGGCAAGGTGAAAAAATTCCAAACATGTGTTTTTCGAGTGCCCACTGTCTTAAAAATAAATTTATAAAGTAAAACAAAGAAGCAAAAAGAGATCGGCATCAAAAAGAATCGAACCCGCGACCTTCAGGTCCATAGTCAGACCTCTTCTCCACTCGACCACGCGTGCAAAGGGAGTCGGCGACAGCCAGACGTGATTGAAAACAATGGCGGCCACGCGGGCGGCAAGGCATCACTACTTATAGGCCTTGCCGCGGTTCGACTCTTTTGGGCGTCAAAGTCTTTTTGCTTTTGTTTCAGACCATTATTCATAGTTTTTATCTATCAAAAGTCAAATTTACAAGCAAAATTTCCAAAAAAAAAGTTCAAAAATAATGCTGGTGTCTTCTGGTTCGTTTCTTCTTCTTCTCCATGGGACAATGCGAATGATGATGACAATATTTATCGGGTACATGTGTTCCATAAGTTCTCAATTTCTTCAAATCTCGATGTTTGAATGGTCGATGATGTTTTTCAGAAGTCTTCACCACCCAAAAATCGTCGTCTTCTGTGCCACCCTGGAATTTGGATTTTCTGAGATTTTTAGATTTTCTAGAAGATTTTAAATCCCAAAATATGAAAATTTGGGTTATTTTACCCCAGATTTTGGGAGTTTTAAATTTACAAAAAAAAATTTCAAAAATTTTTTTAAAAAACATTTTCCAACAAAAAAATCCCCACCTGCGCAACATTGATTTGTTTAAAATTCAAATGTGTCGAATTATAAATTCGCATAATTCCAAAACCGTAATCCGTCGAACGGACCGCACTCCATGGTGGTGGATGCTCGACGAACACGTCGGTGTTCTCACGGCAACCCTGGAAGATTTTTTGGAAATTGTTGAAGATGGCCTAGAACAAGAAGAGCGGAAAAAATTAGGTCATTAGAGCCAAAAATGGGTTCAAACGCTTAAGTTAGAGCTGAGATATGATGAGTTGAAGATAGTGGCCGAGAAATCCAGATTTTGAGAAAATTAGGTCATCAAAATTTTTTAAATATTTAAGGGGATGTCAGACGTTCAAAACTTATTTCAAAATTTCAATATCTCGATTCAAAGCGTAGTTATAGCCATTTGAAGTTGGTGGACTAGAAAACCAAAACTCGGCCACCAAAACTTAAGTAGGTCAAAAATCTTTCTTATATCCTGAGGAGTCTTTTGGTGGCATTCTCACTTAATTTGGACTATTTTTAAGCGAGTTACATTCAAAATGATCTAGAAAAACCTCTTCCATCGACTTACTGCCGATCCAGTAATGATATGAACAGGTGCCGGTGGATTGGTATACGGTAGATGTGTCCCATTGTAAACAGTTCGATTGTAAACTGGCCATAATCTCTCATAACTGTGTTCATGTGCCCATAATTCAATATCCACTCCATATTCATAGAATAGCTTCTCTAGACCATATCCATGTGTTAATGGTAGACCTGTACGAATCTGTAAGGGGGCGGGGCTTATTTTTGAATTTTCAATTTTTCTTACAATTGATTCGTATTTTGTGCAATCGTCTCCATCGAAATCTGAGCAATACATTGGTCGATGTCCCATTGTGATGATCCATGGAATATTTTTACGGTTTTCATTGGCTTTCTGAATCAAAAAAGGGATCTTGAACTAGTTTTCCAGATGTAAAAATGAAGCAAAAAGGATTTGCCACCTAAAGGAATCGAACCCGTGGCCTTCAGATCTATAGACAGATCTCTTATCCACTAGGCCATGCGCGCATGGAGAGGCGGCGGCTCGGGAAGGCGTATAGAAACCGAGGCAAATGCACGGGCGACAAGGTGAAACTACTGGTAAGTCTTCGGGCGCCACCGACTCCTCATGCACATTTGGCCGAGTGGATAAGAGATCAGACTATGAATCTGAAGGTCAGGGGTTCGATTACTTTGGGTGTCAAATCCTTTTTGCTTTTTATTCTGGCTTAGAAATATCATTAAAAATTGCTTTTTTCGCTATTTTAGCTTTTTTTTTCGGCAAAAATTTGCAAATTTTTTACAGAAACCTAGATATTTGGAATTTCTAGGTCTGCTACAGTATACACACCTTCAAATCCTCTTTTAGCCACTCGAATTGATTCTTCATCTGATGATAACCCCACTGTATATTGAAATAGAATTCCGTGGAGAACACCACAAAGTGGGCGTGGCCTAAGTCGTAGCTGAAAAATTCAAAATTTAGGTTTCTCTGCCCTCTCTCACACTCTCTTTATTAGAAAAATAGTGCATGAAAATGAGAGATTTTAGAGAAATTCGCAAAAATTCAAAAAATCGATACCTATAAAAAAGGTTATGATCCGAATTGGGCATTGTGAATCGATTGACAAAATGTGTGAAATTATTAAAGTATTCGTGATTTCCAACGGTTGCCATATACGGTATGTACGCACTGATTGGCTCGATTTGTCGCAAAAACTCGTCCCCCGTTTCTCCGTTCGATTCGTCCATGTTATAGGCGAAGTCACCTGGAAAATGGGATTTTTAGGGACTAGATTTACAGTAATTTAGAAAATCAGGTCATCAAAGTATTTTAAATGAAAATAGAAACTGATTGGTTTAAAAAAAATCCAAATTGGTTGAATTTGAACAAAGTTACGAGCATTTTTAGTTGGTGGCCTAGAAACCCAAAAAAGTGAAAACCTCGGCCACAATTAATTTCAATATGTTCCTCTTGTGATACAGATTGACGTATTCAGACTTCCAAAAGGTTCATTTTTAACCAAGTTACAGTCGTTTGAAGTCGGTGGCCTAGAAAACCAAAACTCGGCCACCAAAACTTAAGTAGATCAAAAACGTTTGTTATGATCTGAGAAGTCTTTTGGTGGTACTCTCACTTAATTTGAACAATTTTCAGCCGAGTTATAGTGATTTCAAAGTGGTGGCCTAGAAAACAAAAGTTAGCAAAACCTCAGCCACCTAACTACAAGATGATAATTTCAGAATGTTCCTTTTGTTTCGAGAAACACATTGACGCTTTTGAAACTCCAAGAACTTCATTTTAACGCGAGTTACAGTCATTTGAAGTTGGTGGCCTAGAAAACCAAAACTCGGCCACCAAAATTTAAGTAGGTCAAAAATGTTTGTTATACTTTGAGAAGTCTTGTGGTGGTATTTTCACTTAGTTAGAATGATTTTCAACAAAGTTATGACCAATTTTTTTGAAAAAAGTCCTATTTGATGGCCTAGAATTCTATTAGGGGGGAAACTAGTCCATGTATCCACTCACCAACATGCAGCACCATATCCAGTTCTCCTCTTTGTGCCATTTTTTGAATTGTCCCTAGGCTCCGCCCATTTTCAACACCCAAATCTCCATAAACCGCATAAATATATCCACCACCATCATTTTCTCGTTCTTTTAATGCTGTGAAAAAGTAGATTGGACTCCAACCGTGCTCCGAACCAACATGGTAGTCTGAAAATTTTTGATTTTCTGAAAATTTGAAAAATTTCAGACATTTTAAGATAAAAATCATGAAAAACGGATAAAAATAAAGGAAGTTATGGGAGTTTGGAAAATTCCAAAAACTGAAAATTTTTGAAAATTTTCGAAAAAATCAAAATTTCCCAAATATGGTCATGTTTATACTCATTCGAGCCGTCTTGGAATTTGAAATTTGAAAATTTCACTGTTCTGGGTTTTAACACAAAAATAAAAAGATTACAGTAGTTTGAAAAATGACTTTTTTGATGAAAATTGAACTTTTTTTCAAACAATCATAACTTTCTTAATTTTCATCGGATTTTTATGATTTTAGGCTTAAAATGTTTCTAATTTTTCAAATTTTCCGATTTTTGTAACAATTTGAATTTGAACATCAAATTCTGATACAAAAAAAAGCATTTGAGAACTAGCTTTTTGAAAACCTAGAAATCATCCTAACTTGGTTCATTTTTGCTCATTTTTTCCAATTTTTAGCTGAAAACGTCTCAAAATTTCTGGAATTTTTGATTTTTTATTTGAAAAATTATTTTACGAAATTCTGAACTGTCGAACTAAACAAAAACATGCAACTTCAAACTTTTTTTTTTTTTGAATATTAAATAATTTTTCAAACAATCATAACTTTCTTTATTTTCATCGGATTATTATAATTTTTGGCTTAAAATGTCTCTAATTTTTTTAAATTTTTGATCTGATTAATCTTAATATTTATTTCAAATATTATGAACTATCAAAAACTCGAGAATAAAATGAAACCAAAAAAAAAATTTTTTTTCGAAAATTAAACATTTTCAAATTCTCATAATTTTCTTAATTTTTATCCAATTCTTATGATTTTTAGCTTAAAACCTGTCTAATTTTTCAATTTTCCCGATTTCAATTGTTTCAATAACTAATAATAAGTTTGTCTCGGTACCAGACCCGTCAAATTAGGAAATACATTTTCAAACTACCGTAATCCCTTTATTTTTGTGCTAAAACTCAAATAGCTTAAATCTGTAAACCCAAAATTGTTTAATAATCCAAATGAATATAAATATGACCATATTTAAAAAAAATTTGATTTTTTCGAAAAATTTCAAGTTTTCAACTTTTTGGGAAAATTCAAATCTCCACAGCTTTCTTCATTTTCATCCGATTTTTATGTTTTTTGGCTCAAAATGATCCCCATTTTCTAAATTTTCAGATTTTCACAATTTCAAAAACTAACAATAAGTTTGCACAGGTACAAGACCCGTCAAATTGGCTCGATGGATATATCTCCACACACTATTCTTATAGAAAGCCCAACTACCGTAATCCTTTCATTTGTGGGACAAATTTTGAACAATGTAGATTATCGAATTCAAAATTTTAAGAGAATTTGAATGAGTATAAACATGACCATATTTGGGAAAATTCGAATTTTTCAACAATTTTTGAAAACTTCAATTTTTTGAAAATTTCCGAAAAATCATAATTTTCTTCATTTTCATCTGATTTTTATGTTTTTAGGCTCAAAATGATTCGAATTTTTTGGATTTTCAGATTATTAAAATTTTTAAAACTAACAATAAGTTTGTCCGGGTACCAGAGCCGTCAAATTGGCTCGATGGATATATCTCCACACACTATTCTTATTTCGATCCAAAAAAACGGAACATCGTCCCAAAACTGATTGATTCAGAGATTTCCAATCACTACCGTACTCCACAATTGACTGTAATGTATCATCGAATGTTTGCCACGTCACAAATGAAACCGATGGGTCTCCTCCATAGGAAATACGAATTTGCTCGGGTTGACCGTAAGATGGACCGATGTTTCCATCATTTTTCAATTTCCAATCAGGAATTCGATCGATTGGCAGGTATTGATGGGTCCAACAGATTTGGGGAATTAGAAAATATACTAGGAAATATAGAAAAATTCTCATTTTTTAAAAAATTTTAGAAGGAAGGAAAGTTATAGACGGTTTGGTCAATAAGACGGGGAATGAAGAGGGGGGTCAGCTGATAATGATAAGAAAAATCAAGTGATAAAAGAACATTTATATAGTTATTTGAGAGCAAACATTCAATTTGAAAAAAATGGGAAAAAAACTTTTTTTTTTTGAATTTTTTCAGATTTTTTTCCTGATCATAAAATTCAATCAGTGGTTATCAGAATAAAATATGTTTGGAAAATAGACGTTTGATGTTGTTTGTTGAAATCTATTACCTCCAAAAATCAAAACATTTCCGAAATTGAACGAAAACTGACTGAGATATGACCATTTTTATGAAATATCGTCAAACATTTTCAAAGATTCTACAGTAACCCAACCAAACTTGAGCCAATTTTTTTGAAACTCAATTTTTCAAATTTTTCAAGCTTAGACGGTCACAATGAGTATAAACATGGCTATTTTTGAACTATTTTCGATTTTTGGGTGCAAATTCGCTCCACCGAAACTTTTGAAATTTTCTAGAAAACAGTGCATATTTATATTCATTTTAATATTCAAATTCTGAAAATTCCAAAAATCAAAACATTTCCGAAATTGAACGAAAACTGACTGAGATATGACCATTTTTATGAAATATCGTCAAACATTTTCAAAGATTCTACAGTAACCCAACCAAACTTGAGCCAATTTTTTTGAAACTCAAATTTTCAAATTTTTCAAGCTTAGACGGTCACAATGAGTATAAACATGGCTATTTTTGAACAATTTTCGATTTTATGGTGCAAATTCGCTCTACCGAAATTTTTCGAATTTTCAAGAAAGCAGGCATATTTATACTCATTCTAGTTATCAAGAACTAAAAATTCCAAAAATATAAAAACATTGGAAATTGAACAAAACTTCGATGAGATACATATGACACTTTTTCTGAGAAATCGACAATATTTTTCAAAGATTCTACAGTAACCAGGCCAAACTTGAGCCAATTTTGTGGAAGTTTGAATTTTCAGATTTGTCAAGTCTGAAGGATCAAAATGAGTATAATCATGACAGGTTTTGAAGGATTTTCGATTTTTGATGCAAATTCGCTCTACCGAAATTTTCGAAATATTGAAGGAAACAGGGCTTGATTATATTCATTTTGAAGCTCTGGTCGAGTAAATTTTAAAAAATTAAGTTTCGATAATGCTAGGATTATATCTATCGGGTTACGGTAGTTTTTCAAGAAAACTCAGGATAAACCATAACTGTGTCAGTTTTCAACCCAAAATACGAATTTTTCTTGAACGTCTCCTAATTTATTTTTTGAAAAGTTTAAATTTCAATATCAATTTTCATTTCTACAATTTTTTAGCTTTTTTTTCACATTCTCACGTTTCAAGAATTAATTTTAAAATTCAATTTTCAAATTTACCGCGTGACATTTTTCAATTTTTCCCCCAATTTTTGTAATTAAGCCATTACTTGACACGTATTTTGCCAAAATGCAAAAAAATTAGAAATCGCTGAAAAATCTTCTTATCATAAGATAAAAATGGATATTCGAGAGATAACGGAGAAATTGACAATTGTCAATGTCACATCTATGACGGTATACATTCTCTTAATTCGTAAAAAACTTCAAAAAATTCCAATTTTTAAGCTTAAAATCAGCAAAATTGTGGAACACCAACAAAACTACCGTAACCCAAATTATATTATTCTAGAAAACTTGAAAATTAAATTTTTGAAATTTGTATAATTAGAGTTTTAAAATGAATATAAACATGCCCTGTTTCCTTCAAAATTGCGAAAGTTTCGGTAGAGCGAATTTGCACCAAAAAATTGAAATCGTTCAAAACTAGTCATTTTTATACTCATTTTGATCGTTTTGGCTTGATAAATCTGAATATTTTGGTTTCAAAAAAATTAGAAATCGCTGAAAAATCTTCTTATCATAAGATAAAAATGGATATTCGAGAGATAACGGAGATTCAAATTCTGAAAATTCCAAAAATCAAAACATTTCCGAAATTGAACGAAAACTGACTGAGATATGACCATTTTTATGAAATATCGTCAAACATTTTCAAAGATTCTACAGTAACCCAACCAAACTTGAGCCAATTTTTTTGAAACTCAAATTTTCAAATTTTTCAAGCTTAGACGGTCACAATGAGATAAACATGGCTATTTTTGAACAATTTTCGATTTTATGGTGCAAATTCGCTCTACCGAAATTTTTAAGCTTAAAATCAGCAAAATTGTGGAACACCAACAAAACTACCGTGAATAAAAATGGTCATATCTCAGTCAGTTTTAGTTCGTTTTCAGAAATTTTTTGATTTTTGAAAATTTCCTGATTAGAGCTTCAGAACGAATATAAATATGCCTTGTTTCTTAAAAATTGCGAAAATTTCGGAAGAGCGAATTTGCACCGAGAAATGAAATTTGTCCAAACCTAGTCATGTTTATACTCATTTTGACCGTTTTGGCTTGATAAATCTGAATATTTTGGTTTCAAAAAAATTGGTTCAAATTTGGCTGGGTTACTGTAGAATCTTTGGAAAATGCTGACTATTTTTCACAAAAAGGGTCATATCTCAGTCAGGTTTTGTTCAATTTCGGAAATTTTTTGATTTTTGAAATTCACATGACCAGAGCTTCAAAATAATAATAAAGATTCCTTGTTTCCATAAAAATTGCAAAAATTTCGGTAGAGCGAATTTGCTTCAAAAAATGAAACTTGTTAAAACTAGCCATGATTATACTTATTTTGACTGTCTAAACTTGAAAAATCTGTAAATTTAAATTTTAAGAACTTTGGCTCAAATTTGGCCGGGTTACTGTAGAATCTTTGAAAAATTCGGATGATATTTTAGAAATAGGGTCATATCTCAGTTAGTTTTCGTTCAATTTTCAAAATTTTTATTTTTTGAGATTCTCAGATTCAGAAAAGTTCAAATAATAATAATTTATATCAATGGAGCGAATTTGCAGAGTGAGTCAGTAGCGGAATACGAGCACGACGTGGATGAATACGTTCGTCTTTTGGAGAATCAATTGGAAATCGAAATGGAGAAAAAACGAAAGATGAGCAATCGAATTGGCTTGGTTGAATGTCAAATTTCGGAACTTTGGGACCGAGTTGATAAGGCGAGACGCAGAGAAACAGACGTTTCGAATCGAGTCACTGCATGGGCACTACATCTCACTCAACTTATGAATGAGGTGCGATTTTTAGAATATTCTAGAAAAAATTGGGCCATTTTAAGACAAAATTCATGAAAATCGGTTGGGAATGAAGGAAAAAATGTTCTCAAAACTGCTTATTTTTCACCTAGAAACATTCAGTTCATACAGCTAAACAAAGAAGCAAAAATAGTTTGACGTCAAAAAGAATCGAACCGGTAGAAGAGAGAGGGTGGCGGTCGGGGTTTATCATTGGACTGGCGCCAACTATCGTCAGTGTGCGCCCTGGCGCAGTGGCAACAGTTTTGTCTTTGAGGAAAAGGGTCAAAAGTTCGATTCCTCTAGGTGAAAAAGTCTTTTTGAATCTTTGATTTGATTGGGAAATCGATTTTTGAGTCATTTAAAACTCAAAAAACGTTGTTTTCGTAACTTTTTAAAATAAATTTCCAGGTAAAACAAAAACGTGCTCATCTCGGAGCAACAATGGATTCGTCGGCCAGTTTGGATGCTGAAATTCAAGAATGTCTTGATTTATTGGCTGAAAAACGAGAACTGGTTGATCGAATGAAACTGGAAATCGATTTTCGTCGTGGAATGCACAAAGTGAGTGTCTCTGGCGGCCTAAAAATGCACAAAAAAGTTTTAGGTCATTTATTGATTTTATTGATTTTTAAAAAAATTAAAACTTTTTTCAAAAAATCAATATTTGTTGCAGAATCAATTGAAACAACTAAAGCTGGATTGTGATTATGAAGATGAGAAATTCCGCGAATGGACCCAAAAATCCGAGGAAATTGAAAAAGTGATTTTTGTGCTGAAAGAGCAGAAAAAAGTGCTCGGAGAACGGATTGAGAATGAGAAACGAATGGAACAAGAGCAGAAAAAAATGCTAGAGGATTTGGAAATTTTGATGAAAAAATCACAAGTTTCGAAAAGAAAAAATTATGGAAATCAGGCGAATTTGATTGCTTCTCTCTCTACAATCACTACCAATTCTTCTTCTTTCTGAAATCGATTATCGATTTTTCATTGATTTTTATCCATTTACAATGTAAAAAACCCAATTATTTTCAATAAAATTCGTGTTTTTGTATTTTTTTTTAGCTCTAAAACTTGCATAAAAACAGTGGAAGCACATCCTCAGCCAAATAATTCACTATCAGAAGCGAATTTTTTCTAAAATCTCACGTTCACTGGGGCACGATTTCTGACCCGTTGGACCCAGGTGAATTAGACTTTTTTCAAAAAATTGATCATAACTTTGTTAAAAATAGTCCTAAATGAGTGAGAGTGCCACCAATAAACTCCTCGAAGCATAAGAAACATTTTTGACATATTTAATTTTTGGTGGCCGAATTTTGTTTTTCTAGGCCACCAACTTGAAATCACTGTAACTTGGCTTAAAATGACTTCTTTGGAATTTTTAAAACATCTATGTATTCCTTAAGACAAAAGAAACATTTTGAAGTTAATTGTGGCAGAGTTTTCCAGCTTTTTGGTTTTTTAGGCCATTACCTTGAAATCGCAATAACTCGGCTGAAAATGGTCCACATTAAACGAAAATACCACCAAAAGACTTGTCAGAGTATAACAAACATTTTTGACCTACTTAAGTATTGGTGGTCTAGTTTTGGTTTTCTAGGCCACCAACTTCAAAAATGAGCATAACTCGGGTAAAAGTGGATATTTCGAGCTGAAACTTGTACCAACAGGTTTCTAACGTGTTCTCTGTCACTTTTTACCTAATTGCCAGTTGGTGGCCTAGAAATACAAAAATTCGGTTTCTAGGCCACCTATGTTGTTGTTTTTTGTTTTAATTTTTTAACGTTTTTTTTACTGAAAACACAAAGTGTAGAGTTCATTGTAGAAAAAAGGGAAAAAAGAAACTTTGGGGACAAAAAAAACAGGAAATTTGAATTTTTTAGAAAAAAAGGGACTTTAACCAAATCAATTAATCATTAAGTGCACGACAACGGAACACTTCGATAAGATTAGCAATGACTTGATACAAAACGGTCCATGCTTGGCGGGTTTCATCGTCCAATTGATATCCGTTACACTCTTTGACCACTTCAAGCACCGGCTCGATCATGTGCTGCAAAATTCGGGATTTTTTCAAAATTCCAAAAACTCATTTTGAAGGGATTTATAGTCATTTTAAAGAGGTGGCCTAGAAAACCAAAATTAGCAAAACTAGGCCGCAATCAATTTTAAGATGGTCCACTTGTTATAAGAAATACACTCATATTTTTAGAACTCCGAGAAGTGAATTTCAAACCAAGTTACAGACATTTCAAGTTGGTGGCCTAGAAAACCAAAACTCGGTCACAAAACCTTAGGTAGGTCAAAAATGTTTCTTATGCTTTGAGAAGTTTATTGGTGGTATTTTCACATAATTTGGACCGTTTTCAGCCAAGTTAGGGCCACTTTTTTTTGAAAATGGTCTAGTATCCCAAAAACTCACAATAACATGATTTCTCTGAACATTCCATTTGATATGTGCCAATGCGATTCTCGACATTGATTTTCTCAATTCCTCCTCATCTCTCATCGACTCGATGATCTTTCCAAGACCCTTCAAATACACTGATGCATGTCTCCTGGAATTTTTTTCAACTTCTTGAAAAGTTCAAATTTCCCGCCAAACCTCAACTCGACCGCATTCATCAAACTCGAGTCGGGAATCGCACGGAATTGAGGCCAAATCAGTTTGTATCGCGGATACTCGGCAAACAATCTGGAAACTTTGAAATTGAATTTTCGAATTTTTTGGCGCCAAATTCAATTTTTTAAAAATTCTCTTACCGAACAAAAATTTTGAGCCCGTTTCTAACGCAATCCTGCTCTATTGAAGTGAACGTCTTCTGAAGGATTTCACGTTGACGATCCGAAAGTCGTGAAGTTTCGTCGATGATTTTTTGGGCTGGAAATTTCAGATGAATTTTTGAATTTTCTTGTTTTAACCTTTCAAAATTTTGAAATTTTGATTTTTTGAATTTTTGAATTTTTGAATTTTCGATTTTTTGAGTTTTTGAATTTTTGAATTTTCGAATTTTTGAATTTTTGAGTTTTTGAATTTTTAAATTTTTGAATTTTTGAATTTTTGAATTTTCGAATTTTTTTTTGAATGTTCAGGAAATTTCAGAATTTTCATTAAAAGTTTTAGAATATTCAGGAAAATTTCCAGAGTTTTCCAAAAAAAATTTCTGGAAAAACTCAAATTTTAAAAAAGCAGAATTTTGAGAAAAAATTACAAAAAATCAATATTAAAAAAAAAGATTTTCTGTTATTTTCCTATGATTTTTGGTACATTTTTTCAAATTTTATATGTTTCGAACTTCAGATTTCAATTTCTTTTAGAAAAATTTTTTGATCTTTAGTTTTTTTTTTTTGAAAAAAGTTGTTTTCAACTTTCTTTTAAAATTCTTGATTTTTCTGAAGTTATCAAATAAATAATAACTGATAATCAGATCATATTTTAAACTGAAAAGTTTCAGACAAAAAGTTTTTTTTCCGATAAGATTTTCTTTAAAGGAAGCCAGACATGAAAATTTTCAAATTTCTATTTTTCTGATATATGACACAGTACAATCGGAAAATAACAACGGACACCAAACTATAACTCTCTGTTACTGTACAAGCGAGAACGCGAACGTTCTTCCAAGCAGCGCCCACTCCTCGTTTCATAATCGTTTTAGAGACATAAGCCGACAAGCGCTGCGTGGTGTAGAGGAGAGCGCGCTTGTCTGTCGGTCGCGCATCGCGGGTTCGATTCCTATCTCTTTTTTTTTGTTTTTTTCTTTCTGTTTTCATGCGGCGACATTATGGAATGACCGAACAACAAGAAAAAGTTGGGAATAATTGCCTAACACGGAAGAATTTTAGTGTATACAAAAAAAAAATAAATGCTCGTCAAGTAGTGCGGGACGCAATCGCACGATTTTCCGTCAGAATACATGATTTCGCCCCAAGAAAACCCCGTAGACTTTCGTGTCTGTCCTCCTTTAAAATTTCCCAAAAATTACCTATTAAATAATCAGGAATCGGATCATTTTTGACACAAAAAGACTTCTCCGTGGATCTCTTAAATCGCCCCGCCTGACTGGAGATGGAGACGCCAAATCGATTTGAATTTTTATAAAACTCATAATAATTTTTTTTTTGATTTTTAAGCGAAAAAATAGGGAAAAGTGACACAAAATGAAGCCAAAAACGCTTATTTTCTGTGATACGGATTAAAAACGATCAGAGTTTAGGAGAGATAAAAGCCAAGTAAACAGGGAATTTCGTCAAGATTTTGGGATGAAAAATACGCGAATTTTTGTGAAAAACTGGAATCTTTAATCAAAAATAAATTTTTTGAAATTCTAAAATTTTAATTTTTTTTCAAAAATTCTAAAATTCTAAAACTCAAAAATTCTAAAATTCTAAATTTTAAAAATTCAAAAATTCTAAATTTTAAAAATTCAAAAATTCCAATATTCCAAAATTCAAAAATTCAAAAATTCTAAAATTCTAAAATTCTAAAATTCTAAATTTTAAAAATTCAAAAATTCCAATATTCCAAAATTCAAAAATTCAAAAATTCAAAAATTCAAAAATTATAAAATTCAAAAATTCAAAAATTCAAAAAAGCCAAAAACTCAAAAATTATAAAATTCTAAAATTCAAAAATTCTAAATTTTAAAAATTCAAAAATTCTAAATTTTAAAAATTCAAAAATTCCAAAATTCCAAAATTCAAAAATTCTAAAATTCTAAAATTCAAAAATTCTAAATTTTAAAAATTCAAAAATTCTAAATTTTAAAAATTCAAAAATTCCAAAATTCAAAAATTCTAAAATTCTAAAATTCTAAAATTCTAAAATTCGAAAATTCTAAAATTCTAAATTTTAAAAATTCTAATTTTAAAAATTCTAAATTTTAAAAATTCAAAAATTCTAAAATTCAAAAATTCAAAAATTCAAAAATCGCTCACCAATTGGATCCGTTGGTCCGGCATTCTCTTTTTCTGATGACGTGGATTGTGAATTTGGCTTCTCTATTATTTTTCCGGCCTTCTCAACGACGTCTTCTCTCTCTTCTACCACTTTTTTCTCATGTTCCACAATTTTCGGCAGGGTTACTGTAGTCTTCTCTTTCTTCTCGGGCTCTCTGAGCAATACCGGAGCTCTAGATGGCTCACTTTGAGCATTCACCTCAATGTGTTGTTCAAGAAGTTGACGATACATGATTCTGAAAAAGTAGAAGACGTCAGGATTTTCAGAAAATGACCCAAATCTTTTTGACCTAAAAATAAGAATCCTTTCTTTCCAGACAAAAGAAATCTCTGAAAATAAAAAAAAAGTGGGCGTGGTCAGAACTAAAAAAAAAATTTTCGAAAAAATTTGCATGTTTTTTTGGTCTGAAAAAATAAAAGTTGCCGATTTTCAGGTACTTTTTAGGACAACAAAAAAAGAAAAAGAGGGATAATCTTCTTGATATTCAGAGATTATCCTATTAGAATAGAAAAGGGGAAAAGTTGGATGATATCATTTTTTATCTGAAAACTTCAGATTTTTTCCAGATTTAGACTTCTATGAATGGGGAACAAAATTCTTTAAGAAAAAAATGATGTGATTTTTTTCTACCAATAATAAGAATGGGTAACAAATTTTTGAAAAAAAAATTTTTTTTAATTTTTCAAAATTATTTTTTATTATTTTGAAAATTTGGCTCAAAATTGTCTAATTTGTGAAGAATAATCTGAAAATCGAGGAAAAAAATTTCAGATTCGATCTCTGGCTGAAAACAAAAATTTTCAGCCAAAAATGTTTTTTTCAGAATCTTGAAATATAAAATATACAAGTCGAGCGTGGCCCCCTGTCATTTTTATATGTGCCTAGCTAATCGGGAAGTGGGCGGGGCCTAAAATCCATCAAGAGTACTTCCGGTCAAATTCTTCAGAATTCCACGTCTTCTGAGGAAAAGATTCTGAAGAAAAAGGAGCAAAAAAGGAGAAGGAGAGACACTGCAGGAGAAGAAAATAATGACTTTGGTGGGAAGGTGAAAGTGCAAAAAAGGTCAAAATCATTGAAAACGGACAATGGACCCAAACATCGAAAAAAAATGTTCTGAAAAATTTTTTTATTGATCAAATTTAGTTTTTGGGTCATAACTCCCTTCAAACTGAACATTTTTTGAAAATTCAAAGTGAAAAATGTAGATTTTAAAAATAGCTACACATTCATATAGAACATGCCTAGCTTCGCTAAAACTTTTAGGTACCAATAAGCAATTTTTGGCAATGAAGCCACTCAGCTAACAGAAAGTGGCGCTCCAAACTTGACTTTAAAAACAATCAAATTACCCCCCCCCCTATTCAACTTTGAGTCAATTTATCTCGGTTCTTATGAAAGATATCGAAAAGTGGTCAACAAATAAAACACTTGTGATATTATGATAAACATTTTATCAATTGACCACTTTTCGATATCTTTAACAGGAACCGAGATGAACTGTCTCAAAGTTAAGAGGTCGGAAATCGCTGGGAAGCTCACAATCAGCTGACTTTTCAACTTAGAACCCCTATATCTCATTTCCTGTGAAAGATATCAAAAAATGGTCAACTGATAAAGTGTTTATCAGTTTGCCAGTAATATTTTATATGTGAATCACTTTTTGATAGCTCACCTAGGAACTGAGATAAATCCGCTCAAAGTTAAAAGCTAGAGAGATCATTCTAGTCGTGTTTACGGTGCTCACTTCAAATGGGTTTGTACACATATTCATGCAAATTCTATTAAAAATTACTATTTTAGACTTAAAACTGACTAAAGCTTCTTTTTCCTATGACATGAATAACACCTAAATGTGATTAACAAGATTACCAACCCCCCTCGGTTTCTTTCTTTTCAGCGAATCCCAAATAGGATAAGGCGAGTCATCTTCAAGAAGATGTTACAAAGAACCTTAGCTCCACTGTCACAAACCTTTTTCCGACATATCGGCGTAGGAGTACGGTTCACGTCATTTAAGGTAAGGGACATGTAAAGTGTGTTTCTCCAATTTTTTCATGTAAGCCCCTTGACTATTTTCACTGGTCCCACCGTTGGAGGTTCCGCGTTGCTACCTGCAGAGTTACGGTGACAATGTCATCGATGTCAAAGCGGAACCATAGCCAGAAACACATCGTCACGTCAAAATGCGTGACTCAATCTTCATTCTAGCCTCCAACGGTGTACGGTAAATCCATTGAGCTACACAGTCAGGTTTTCCACCTCCTTCAAAGTTGAGAAAAAAACATCTAGATGACTTTCTGGAATCTTCGAAACTAGAAACCACCCAAAACACTAAATTATCAAGAAGCAAACAACTAAAAGTTTTGGAATTTTCTGGAAAATTACAAATCATAAGAGATCAGGAAGTATGCAGCATGTGATGATTCGATGTCTGGTTCTGAAGGTTCAAAATGTGAAAAAAAGATGATTCATGTGTTAAGAAATCTTCGGATTACCTACAAAAAGTGCAGAACATTCTGACCAATAGAGATTTTTTACTTGAAAAATACTAATCCAATAGTCTATGGTCGAGTTGAAAATTTCCAGAGAAATCTTTCAAAAACTTTCTGGGATGTTTGATTTCTAATCAATTAATATCTGTCGCCTTGTATTTTTTTTGTTTATCAAGAAGATAAGAATCTTGAAAAATATGAATACAAATTTCTAGGGACCAAATAATGCCACATCACTTAAGATCGATCAAAAATAAGCGATGTGAATTCAAGCTTAAAGGCGCAACCATACTCAAATTAGAATGTATCATAACTCAGTCAGTTTTGCTCTAGATTGTATGAAAATTATACCAAACGGTTCCTTATAAAAAGAGCTTCAAAACAAATATAAACATGACTGTTTTTGGATAATTTTAAAACTGTGAGTTTAAAGGCGCTTGGGCTAAACTTAAAACCGAAATCTATCATAACTTGATCACGTTCGCTCTGAAAGTTTAGAAAATTATACCAAACGATTTATTTTGTAAAGAGCTTCAAGAAACAATAAACATTAAACATTAAAACATTAAGTTTAAAGGCGCATAACCATATTCTCAGATCAATATTTCATTAATTTTAACTCACGCCTTAAAAACGTTCCGAATTTGAAAATTTACCGAGAAATCGGAAAAATCTAGTCCAGCGTGTTCAAAAATTTTGAGCCGAATTCGACCACTTTAAGCCGATTTACACGCCTTTGAAAAGCGCACGAGAGAGTGTGGGGAGTAGGGAGGGCGCAGACACCTAGACGCTCTAGCTATCACTGTGCTAACTTTGAAGAGCTGTAACTTGCCTCAAAAGGGTCCGTATTTCATGAAATTTTGTGAGAATAGGTTTTAAAACATGGGGAACATTTTCATAACAAATATTTATATCATTTTATATCAATTTTTATAGTCTTTTATACATTTTTGGATATAATTCGAAAAATGAATTTTGAAGGGAATTATGTGTCAGATCAAGCAAGTTTTCTTAGATTTTCGTTCCTCATCATTCATACCACTTTCTAAGCACATCAAATGTACTACTCATTTCCTACTAAAACATTTTTTTTGCAAAAATAGAAATTGCACGTTCTCTAGGTGTCACTTCCGTCTCGACTTTGAGAAATCGACCTCTAGCCGATTTTCTTTATTATTTTTGCACAATTTTTCTTCTTTTTTTTTCGATTTTTCCGCATGAATTATATTTTGAATCGCCTACTCGATTTCCTGGAATTCTTGGAAAGAGACAGGATATAGGGGGACAAAGGGTTGGAAGTTATGGGGAAGAGGAAGGGAAAGAAAAGTTGGAATTTCGAATTTTTGGAATTTGTGTTTGTTAGAATTACAAACTTTGATTCTAGGAGAAAATTGAAATTTCAAAAATATCGGTTTTAACAAAAAAGTGAACATTTCGAAAACTGAAACAAATAATATATATATATATATATATATAGACTCCCAAAGAAAACGTTGATATTTTCAAAAAGTTTATTGGACCACAACTCTGTCAGTTTTGCTCCAAATTATATGAAAAATACATCAAACGATTTTTTATGAAAAGAGCTTTAAAATGCGTATAAACATGACTATATTTGAAATTTTTCGAATTTTTGAGTTTAAAGGCGCATAATCAAATTCGAAAGTTGAAACACTCATAACTTGGTCAGTTTCAATCCAAATTGTATGAAAAAAATAGTTTAAAGGCGCATGGTCATACTCAGGGACCAATACTCAATCTTTAAGATTGTATCTTATGTACTATGACACCATCTCAAATTTGACAAGTTCTGATAGAGATAACTTCCTGATTCTTGATGATTTGATTTTTCCCAAAACCCAAAATCCATCGGAAATTCGAATTAGCGCCCGAATCTCATGACACAAACTAGGAAAAAAAGAGCATGTTTTATTGACAAGGGGTTAACCGGTTTGTTAAAGTTGTGAGCAGTATTCAACAAATTGTCAATAGAGCACATTTACGTACTCTTCACTGAATCCATAATAATATCATTTAAAACAATCGGAGGTTCTCTGGATGCCAGCATAACCAATGCGAACGCAATTGTGATAAGGATATATCCAAACATAATACATCTATCGATAAGACGGGTCACTTGTTGCCACTCGAATTTGATTCGTTTTAACTCGCGTTCTGGAAAAGTTAGAAAATTGAAATTTGGTGGTTAGGAATAATCTAGGCCAGTGTCCTCACAAAATTTCAGCCAAATCAGACCATTTTGAGCCGAGTTACAAGCTTTTGCATTGCGCGCGAGAGAGTGTTGGGAGTAGGGAGGGCGCAGAGACCTAGACGCTCTACCTGTCTGCGTCTCTCACGCTGCGAATTTCAAAGTGCTGTTACTCGGCTCGAAGTGGCCTGTTTCTAATGAAATTTTGTGAGAATGGGTTTCAAAATGTGAGGAAGAGTTTGATACAAAATTGAAAACTTTTGACAATTTTTAAATTTTTTTCCTGGAAAAGTTAGAAAATTGAAATTAGGTGAAGAAATGGGAAAAATCTAATGCAGTTTCCTCACACATTTTCAGCCAAATCGGATCATTTTGAGCCGAGTTACGAGCCGTTGAATTGTGTGCAATAGAGTGTGGGGAGTAGGGAGGGCGCAGAGACCTAGACGCTCTACCTGTCTGCGTCTCTCACGCTGCGAATTTCAAAGTACTGTAACTCGGCTCAAAGCAATCCGTTTTCTATGATATTTTGTGAGAGTGGGTTTTAGAACATGGGGATTATTTAGACAACTAGGGAATTTTAGAAAATTTTCAATTTTGGGATTTCAATTTTTTTCATGTTTTTTTTTAAATTTTTGGGCCACAACCTAATTTTCTGAATTTCTAGGTCGTGGTTTTATTCTTTCGATTTTGAGGTCGTAACTCAATTTTTCAAATTTTTGTAGGCGATTTTGGTTTCTTATAATTTAATTTCATAAAAATTCGATTTCTGTTTTGCTTTCACAACGATCACATTCCGGTTCGTGCGAAAGTCTAGTTTAGCTGAAAATCTGGAAATTTCTAATTTCCGGTGCCTTCTCATGACCTTCCAGGCGCTTATTCACTAATGAATGTGTGATAAAGATCACTTTTCATAAACTACAGTAATCTTCTGCCAAATACCGTAAGCATTCTAAAAAAGACTACCCAACTTTGAGTCCATATATTTCGGTTCCCGTGAAAGGTATCAAAAAATGGTCAACTGATAAATTGATTGTCACAATATAACCTAAATTTTATTAGTTGACAAATTTTTGACATCTTTCACGGGAACCGAGATATAGGGGCTCAAAGTTAAGAGGTTGGAAGCCTCTGTGTATCTCAGCCGGTAAGCACCGACTTTGAGCTAATTTATCTCAGTTCCTGTGAAAGGTATCCAAAAGTGGTCAACTGACAAAATGTTTATCATAATATCAGTAACATTTTATCAGTTGACAAGTTTTCGATATTAATCATAGGAACCGAGATAATTGAGATCAAAATTTATGTATAAGGTATTTTCAGACAGGAACTTTAGAAGAAATCAAAAATCTTTAGATCTATACTTCCGGCCATTAAAAAACCAACTTACCAGCGTGAATCGAAGCTTTCATATCATCCAGAACCACTTTTATTTTGAGCAGCGATGATGTCAATAGCTGAGAAGTAGCCGATGATTCCGCAGACATCACGAAACTTTTGACACTTCCGCCACCAGTAATCTCCTCCATTTTCACTATATGTGCCGGAGGGGTGTGCGGTTGAAGCTCTCCTTTGGCGTAACCATTCACATGATTGCCATTGGCGAAGAAGAAGCTCTGAAAAGTAACGAATAAAAAAGAAAAAAAGTTTCTCCCCGGCCGGGAATTGAACCCGGGTCTCGCATGTGACAGACGCGGATACTCACCACTATACTACCGAGGACACGAGAGGGAACGAACTAGAGGGCAAACATAAAGGAGGGAGAAAGTGGTGGTGGAGAGAGACGCAGGCGAGGAGGGGGAGGGGGATATGTTTAGTGTGTTAAAGTTTGGAAGAAATTTCAAATGAGTTAGAAAGTAAGTTTTCGGAAGAAAATCAAAAACAATTTTTGATAAATTTATAGAACTAAAGGTTGGCTATCTATTGGTACAAAATTTAAAGAAAACGGAAAATATGTTAAAGAGTTATAGGAAAAGTTGTGTTTCGGACCACTAAGTTCTAGAAAAACTTCTAGAAGTCCAACCTGTGAGCTTATGTTTGATGGGATTTTCAAGGATCCAAATGTCTGAAACTCAATCCAACAATTCTGGATTACTGTATTTCTCCAGATCCTTACCTGTTTCCGATTGTCCGACCTCAACAATTTCTTGGGTAACTGAAAAGAAAATGCCCAAGAAATGCAGGGATTGGCAGCTATTTGATAGAAGAAAAAGTCTCGAACTCGAGGGTCCACCTAGAAAACCAAAATTTGAAGCTTTAAATTTTCAAATTTCCGCCAAACCTCCTGTCCACTATTGCCTCTCATCTGGTAGGATAGTGTTAGTGTTGTTGTGAATGCAGCCATAAAAATGAGAAATATGAGTCCTATGTAGTATTTTCCGATTAATGGAATCACTTCAGATGTAGCTGGTACTTCGTCGGATACCATCATCACTGAAAAAATGGATTTTCTAATTTAGATTCTTTCGAATCTTATTTTAAAAGAAGTAAAACAATTTTTTAATTTATAGCCACAAATTTTTAACAAAATCGGCCCACTGGGAAGCGAGTTACAGACTTTTAAGGTTTGCGTGAGAGAGTGTGTGGGGCAAGGAGGGCGCA